TTTGTGCACTGCAAAATTACTCTAACTTGAGTCACTTTGGACTCTTGGTTGCCTTGAAGTTGTTGGTTTCTAGCATAATGCTGTATTTTCTTCCTTGTGGTCCTTAGGCAGGTAGATGTCATTGTGCTGGAGGAAAATGTGACATTTTGCTGATTCCAAAGGCAGGCAGGAAATGGCGGCGCTTCTGGTGACAGAGTACTAGAGACTGCTCAGGTACCTCGCCGAACGGGGTGCCTGGATCATGGTGTGTGTATAGATGTACGTATCTGGGTTTCTATCTCTGTGTGAATACTCATGATTTGTGATTTTTTTAAATCTGTGACTCAAAATAAGAAAGACATATTTGGCCTCCATCTGTTTCTGGCGTAGAGCTCCTAAAACCCTTTGAGTGCCCTAAATGATGAGAAGTAAGGGTGTCTTTTTTGTTTCTAGCAGAACCCCTTCTATGTCTGAGTGGGTGTTAGCAGCCCCTCGGCTGAGGCCACTGTCTCGTGTTGGAGGTGGTGGTCTCCCCTCCTGCCTGAGAACCCTCCCTGGCCTGGTCTCATGTGTCTCTTCTTGTGGCTGTTCACTGTTCTCCTTTGCAATAGACCGCCACCCTGGTAAGTCAGTGGGTTTCTAGAGTTCTGAGAACTATTCCAGCAAGCCCACCAAACCCCAGGAACGCTTGACTTCTAGCAGGAGGGCTGGAAGCACAGGGAACAACCTGGACTTGCTGTTGGCGTCAAGGTGGGAGCGACCTTGTGGGTAAAACTTTACACCCCTGTGATCTGATGTTCTGTTCAAGGAGATAAAGTCAGAATTGAGTTAACTGCTTGGTGGTATGAAAACACACACAGAAATACTACAGAGCCACCAAAAATACAGCTATGTTTATATTGATGTGGAAACGCCTGTGGATGGACTGGTTAGTAGAAAAAACAGGCTAGAAAAGCAGGGTGTGTACGCTGCTGTGTATTCTGGTTTAGATTATAACATGCTAAATTGCCCTATTTTGCATGCAACTTTTATCAGATACAGAGTCCTTTTACAAATCTTCTCAATGTTGAACCCGATAGCGTGGGGTGTGCCAAGAAGGCAGGTATAGGTGAGTGACTGGTAGGGAATAGTCCGGTGGGTTGTGAAGAAGAGAGTCATCTAGAAAGACTGAGGGTCATTCTGGCCGCCAGACCCAGCACTCTCTCCCTCTGCGACACGCCCGCTCTGGCACGGCACCTTAGCTGCTTGGGTGCAGCTGAGTTGGCCCCTTAGCCGCTTGGGTGCAGCTGAGTTGGCACGGAGAAGCGCCTGGGCTAATTTATCTTCCTATTATTAATTCCATTATTACTGCTATTATCACAACATTGATAAGAGAGGTGCTGTCCCCCAATCACAGCATGACTAATTACTTTAAAACTTAGTGACTTAAGACAACACATCTTTCTTACCTTCCTTGATCTAAGGGTCAGGAATTCCAGAGTGACTTTCTCTCGGGTTGTCCTCAAGTCATCAGCTAGGTAGTGCCCTGTGAAGACTGGCCTGCGGAGGGACCCGCCTCTGAGTTGGCTCCTTAGAGTGCTGTCAGCTGGAGGCTTTAGCTCCCTGCCTTTTAGACCTCTGGGGTATCCTCGGGACACAGCAGCAGGCTAGCCTCGGGGTGTGTGATCAGAGGGCAGGCAGAAACCTCTGGGCAGAAACTTAGGGGACTTTCTGAGGCCACACATACACCCTAAAGTCTTTTCTTCTGCAAGGCAGGTCAGCCCTGTGCTTTGTGGATGGCAAGAATTGGGGGGGGGGGGTATGGTATTACAGCCCAGCCACCACATCCAGGCAGTAACTGGTGAACTAAATTTAAATCTAGGTTCTCTGACTCATATCACCCACATGTTGGGGTACCCCAGGCTGTCTCCTCTCCTTTCTCTCTGCTTATACCCCAAGTGGTCATCTCAGCCAGTCCCTTTGTTACAGGGTGGTGAGGGGCACCCCTGGGCCCCCAAACCTGCATGCTCTAAATGGATTCTGCCAGCCACTGCATCAAGACAAAACATACTCCGTGCCTAAGATCTTCAGTGGAAAATAACTTATGTGTTCTCACTTAGTGTGTGTGTGAGAGAGAAAAAGAATATAGTTTAATAGTTCCCTATCAGGCACCCAAAGTTACTCATACTCTCGTGGGTCAGGGTTGGCCCAGAGGAGGGCCACTGAGCCCCAAAGCCCACCACAGTCTAAGGCACCTTCTGGCGGGGACCGACAGGGCAGGGCGGGTAAGTCTAGGACACAAGGAGCAAAGTTGGAACACAAGGCAGGGTGCAAAGGCCACCATCTCCATCCTCCCCACGGTCTCTCACCACGTCTGTTTTATGTGTCCCTCTCTGTGTCCCCAGGTTTCTGGTATGATCCACAGCCGGGAAGCACAGCTTCTCTCATCTCTGCTCCATGTGCCTCTCCTAGCTTTGCTCTTCACCCCATCTTCTCTAGCTGCTCCCCCTGCTCAGCTCCACCTCTCTTGGGAGGGGCAGGGAACCTGGGACCTCCCCTCCCCGGGACTCCGCCACACAGTGGCTCCAGTTGCCTCTCCATGCCAGATTCCTCCTCTGAACACAACCTGTGTACAGCCAGTGACCACTCCGCTGGAGCCCGGCTGGAACCATGTGCCAGAGCTGAGCCCCTGACCCCCTCCCAAACCCGCTCCTCCCAGACGCCCCACTGACAGTGTCTTTCTTCAGCTGCTGAGGCCAGAAACCTTGGTGTCATGCTCAGCTGCCCCTTCCTCTCGCCCCGCCACCAGCCAGCGAGTCCTGCCTCCTTGCAAAGTGCCCGGAGCGCAGTCCTGCTCACCACTGGACCGCACCGCCATCTCTGCCAGCCGTAGCCAAGCCTCTGGCTCTTCTCTGGCCTCTGCCTGCGTCCCGTGGCCCTCCCTGCCCACACTGCAGCCCCTTTCAGACCCGAGCGATCACGCCAGCTCAGGGCTTCTGTGTGCACAGCAGAGGGACAGGCCGCGGGCACGCAGGGGGATGAGCCTTCCTGCACCTGCCGCTGGCCTCCCCTGGCGACCCCCCAGGGCCTAGGCTGCTGCCCACATCCGCCCTCCCCCTGCCCAGAAGTCTCTTCCCCCAGGCACCAGGACTCTGTTTCTCTTGGCTCTTTCTCAAATAGCACCGTCTCGGTGAGGCCTCCCATGGCCCTTCTGCCTAACTTTCAAGCACTCCCCCGGGGATATTTCACTTTCCTGCCTGGCTTTAAACTTTGTCCTTTGTGTACCTATCACTGCCTAACATACTGTATTTTCTCTTAGTTCTTAAAATTGCTTCCTTCGCTCATGTCTCAGCTAAACAGGTTTTTGTCCCTCTTGTACTCTGTATTGGATGGCCTATCACATTTGCATATTTCTTGAAGCCATTTTTATTTTAATATTTAAGAATGTAGGTGTTACCTCCCCACATAAATATGGTTGAAGTTAGCATACCAGGAACATTTGCAACTCATCAGTACAGTATGTTATTTCTTGCCCAAGATTACTAGATCCAATTACAGCTGTTGGGGGGGGGGGAGCTTAGGAGTTTCCCATATATGAACTATTTCTTTGTGAATTGATTGCCAGTCAGGCATGTAATTCAGATGGAGAAGTGAAGTCCACGGTTGTCTAGAGGACACGCGGGAGGCCACAGGGGGAGGGTCACCATGTGTGTGTTCAAAGGCCCTGTGTCTTTTGTGTGCTGACTTACAGTCGACATGAGAAAAGCCCACATGTGGTTGGGAAAGATGTGGGTCCCCAGCCCTGAGTGGGCTATCGACAGTGGAAAGAGCAGAGCCCCCACCCCCCACCCTTCCAGTGAACACACAAGTAAGTCACACACCGCGGGGTGGAGTCTGGTGGCTTCCTCCTCACCCCCCACTTGACGGCCCTGTGCCAATGGCTATGCCCTGTGTCTCATTTTGGGGGTTGGGGGTGGGGTGTCACCAGCACTTTAAAACTGACAGGGGTCCCGGTCACCTTGTGTGGCCACAGCATGAACCGCCAGGTAATTCCAGCTGGCAGGAGCTGGACAGACAGCACGCGGGTCCCACCCTCAGAGTTTGGCATAATTGAGGCCTAAATTAGTGACACACGCGGGCGGTGGCCTTCTCTCCGCCTGTCTGCGCCTCCCCAAGGGGTGCTGGCAGCTGGCCGGTTGGTTCTGTGTGCCGGAGGGGTGAGGTGCGCCTCCCAGGCAGGCCTCCTTCCCTCGGGTCGCTGTGCTTCCGTACGGAGCGGAGGGGTCCTGATCCCCGCGGGTGGCGGCAGTGTTGGGTGAATGTGGCGGGTGCGGCCGTGCTCACACGTGCACAGCAAGCACACAGCCACGCGTGTGTCCCCCTTCCTTCTAGGTTCTGGCCCTGATTGCGTTCGTCTGCATAGAGACCATCATGGAGTGCTCCCCGTGCGAAGGCCTCTACTTTTTTGAGTTTGTGAGCTGCAGCGCCCTCGTGGTGACCGGAGTCTTGCTGATTCTGTTCAGTCTCAACCTGCACACGAGGATCCCTCAGATCAACTGGAGCCTGACGGTGAGTACAGGGCGAGCTGCGGTCTCTCCCCGTCACGCTTGGGTCGCTTCATTCTGACGTTTAAATAGTCAACAGCCCTTGTAATTCGGCTGTTGAGACTTCACATTTCATTTCTGGGTTCAGGGAAACTACAGGATGAATCGAATCTTCTCCATGGTAGGAGACGTCATGGCCAAATTATTTTGACCCCTTTAAAGGTGTTACTTCGATTGTGTGCGTCTCTGCTCGGAGATGTTGATATTTGCAGGCTATGGGCAAGAGAAAATGGAATTAATACATCGGCGTGTTTCCACACGGGACTGACTCCAAAACGCCAATTCCAGAAGAACTGACACTGGGAATGCCTGGCGGTGTCATTAACGCAGAGCTCCCGGAGGGGCCGGGCTGGCCCGCACCCTCTCCTCTGCCTGGGTTGGGGTCCCGCCCGTCTCCCAGCCTCGCCGCGCGGCCGTCGGAGCTCAGGACCCTTCTCCCGACTCGTGTCACTCCTCTCAGGGTGCTGAATGAGAAACTTAATCGCTTTTTTTTTTTTTATATCTTTGCAAATAAGCATGTACAAGAGCTTGAGGGGGCTGCAGGGGAGAAGCTCAGCAGTCTGGGGGTGGGGACCTGTGGGGCACCAGGGCTCCCGGAGGAGGGGGGTGCCGGGATCTCCCTCCCGCCCGCCCGCGCGGCAGGTGCTGGCTGTATTTGAAGCCGAGGAGAGCGGGGCTGGTCGCCTCGCCTGGCAGGGCCCATCCCTGGTGGGCCTTGGGGTGTGCCAGGAGGGGAGGGTCTTCCTGACAGAAGGCCCTTTCTTGGGGCCTAATAGGCTCGGACGCTTCTGACCTAGGAAAGTTGTCGTGAGTTGAAAACTCTGAGAAACTGGTGGCTTGAAGAGGGCTTGCAGTGTGCTGGATTCCTCAGCGGTGACTTGCTGGCGCTGTGCTCGGCGCGCATGGTGAGGCAGATGGTCCTCAGGCAGCGGCTGCGTGGCCGTCACAGCCCCCACAGGTAACACAGGGTGCACCCCGGTGTTAAGTGAGAGCTTCAAAATGTCAAGACACTACAGATACTTCTAAGATTTTGTGACAGGTCTTAATGTCTCATTTATTTTTTTTTTAAATTTATTTATTTATGCACAGAGAACTGGGGTACAGGCCAGAGGTGCAGGGCAGTAAGAGGATTCACTAGAGAGAGTTGGGAGTAGCATAGGCAGATCGATGAGGTACACTGCTGAGGGGAGCAGCGGGCGGGTCAGGAGAGGTCTGCCACGCCATGTGGGTCACCTCCGGGGCCGGAGATCAAACTCACACTGAAGCAGCTGCAGCGGCTTGCGGTGCTGCATCCTAACCCGTTGCGCCACCAGGGAGGGCCTGTCTCAACTGCTTTTAAGGTAAACTTGTTGTTATGCTCGAGAGAATACCCGTAGGGTTGTGCCCTAAGTTGATAATGCAGTGGAGAGATAGCTTAAGAGAACCATGCAAACCCCCAACCAAATGCAAAATCCTTGGGGGTGAGGTCCTAGCAGAGATCCCCAGGCCTTTCACAGGTCTCCTGAATACATGCTCGAGGAGGGGGTGCTGGGCTGGGCTGTGAGCTGAACCCTGCCAGGGGCCCTTTGATAAAGCTGCCCTGCAGGGATCTGGGTCAGACACACCCATCCAGGTTCCAGTACAGGGTGAGTGGGGGGCCCTGGGCAAGTCACTCAGAGCCTCAGGGCGTGGTCCCCCAGCTGTAAAGTGGAGAGAACAATATTTTTCTTAGAGGGCTGTTTTAGCGATAAAGGCCAGTCTCGTGAGCCCTCGAGCCAGGGGTCTGCTGTCCATAGGAGAAGCCGTAATCTTCGCCCCAAGGGGCGCTCATGTGGCCAGCGGCCCTCTGTCCACCCGCCCTTCTCCTGTGGATTCCACCAGCTTTGATTTTATTCCCTTAATCCTGTCTTCTCTGCTTATTTTTACAGTAATAAATCTGTTAAAACTGTGTAATAAACTTTCTGAAATACTGGTTTTTCTGTTTTAATCCTGAAAGATGTTTCCCTTGTTGGCTGACCACATGGTCTGGATGTGTCCAAGCACATCTTCCCCTGGAAAGTTAAGCTCCATCCTCTGGGAGCGTCAGCTGGGTCCCCAGAGGCCACCTCCGTGCCCTTTGGGGTCCTTTTAGGAACCCCGGCCCTCAGAGCAGAGACGGGCGTGCTCGTCCAGCTGTGACACTGCGAGTTGCGTGGACTTGGGGAGCTGGTCCTGAGGGGCGAGAGCTCAGGTCATGTCTGCTGGGGTGGGCGCAGAGTGCTCCTCAGGCCACTACAGAGGGTTCCCCTTGGGCGTGCAGTCTTTCCAGCCGGGGGCAGTATTTCTGTCCCTGACAGAACCAGCTGATGAATGAAACGGGGTCGTACCGGTGTAAGTGTAGAAAAATGGGTCATTTCAGGAGTATTGGCCGACACAAGTAATCATGACATACAGTAGCGAGGACGACGCAGAGTACAGCCGTGTCCCCCCGCCCACTGTTCTTACTTCTACAGGGCCCACAAATATTAGGTATGATAAAGTATTTTGCGAGACCACTTCTACTTAACATTGTTCTGTTTTGTTACGAGTCGTTAATGTGAATCTCTTCGCCTAATTCAGAAATTAAACCTTACCCAAGGTATGTGTGTCTGGGAAGAAACGTAGCGTATGTAGGGCTTGGACTGTTCTGGGTTCAGGCAGCCCCGGACTCTTGGAACATAGCCCCTGAGGATCAGGGACCACAGACATAATCTACGCACACAGGTGCAGTCGGAAGACTCCATTCCTGAGCCTTTTGCGGACTTTTTAAAGTCTGCAGGCTGAGGCCGTGACGCCTGCCCCTCCCTGTGTGACAGGAGCTCCCCACTGGGTGCCCTGGGGTTGTCCTCATGGTACCACAGGCCTCCTCCTGGCCCTGTCCTCGTCCATCCCTCTGGCCACCGAGGGCCCGGCCGGGGCACCCACTCCCCTTAGCTGACCCTTGAGCCCATGTTCTGTGGAGAGGAGGGAGGTCTGCAGGGCTCTGGGTCGGACACACCCATCCAGGTCCCAGTCCAGGTCGTGTGAGGGGACCCTGGGCTCGTTTCTCACCTTCTGTCGTCCAGCACGGCACTTTCAGAAAGGCTGGGCAGGGCAAACGTACAGGTTAGCGAGGGCCAGTAAGATCGGAGACCACCACCTGGGCAAGAGCTAGGCCACTGTCTACACCCTACCAGCCGCCCAGGGTCCTTCCCCTCGCCCCCGCCCCAGCCCGCCCTGCCGACGTCAGGTCCTCGGAGAGAGATGGCCCCTGTGGCCCCTGCTCCCGGCTGGCGCCTCGGCCCTGCCCCTGGGTGGTCCAGCTGCGTCTGCCAGGCCGCCTTGTCCTGCAGCCTCCTGCCTCCTCGGCCTGCTCTGAAGCCCCGCGCTTTTCCCCTTGCTGAGCTTCCCCCATGGCTTCCTGCAGGCCTCTGCCATCCCCGCGCCCGCACCCACTGCTGTGGTGAGAAGGGTCTGGAGTCACCAAGAACGTTCAGAGCCCTGAGCTGTGACTCAGTGTGTGGTGTTTTCCAACACTGATGACTGTGTTTCTGACACGGCACTCGTGTCGTTTTTCACACCAACACCCACTGGGTGTCCCCAGTTCCCTCCAGCTCTGGCCCAGTTAGCTCAGACCCCACAGGCTAAGGGCCCCATCCCGCCAGACTCTGGCCACAGTGGGGGCTCCTGGGTGGCCTCGCTCCTGCCTGGCCGCCTGCAGATGCACATACCCCGCTACTCCTCAGGTCACACAATTCTTGACAATGACTCACAGAACTTGGGGAAGTGCTTTACTCGCAATTACAGGTTTTAAATAATAGATGCAAGTTAAAACTGCCAAGCGGAGGGCCCTCCCTGGTGGTGCAGGGGGTTAAAGTGCAGCGCTATGAAGCTGTCAGCAGCCACTGCAGCACGCGTTAGTTAGATGCCCAGCCAGGGAGTGACCCACGTGGCGCGGCAGACCTCTCCTGACCCCCCCGCTGCTCCCCTCAGCAGTGTACTTCGTCAATCTGCCTGCTCCCCACTCTCTCTCTGGTGAGTCCTTTCCACCCCTCCACCCCCTCACCTCTGGCCTGTACCCTAGTTCTTGTATGCATAAATAAATATTAAAAAAAAACAAACTGGGCCCTCCCTGGTGGCTCAGCGGGTTAAAGCACTGCACTAAGAAGCTAAAGTCACTTCCGCATGAGTTTGATTCCCGCCTACCCCAGAGGAGATCCACATGGCGAGCAGTGTACTTCATCTATCTGCCTGTTCTGCTCTGGGCTCTGTCTCTGGTGAATCCTCTCACCCTCCGCATCTCTGGCCTGTACCCCAGTTCTATGTGAATAAATAAATAAAATCTTTAAAAAAAAAACAACTGCCAGTGGAAGCGTTAGCAAAGGTAGGGTGTGGAGTAATTTCAAGCTCTGCAGAGTCCCGTCACCAGGGAGCCAGGGTGTGTCACCTCCCCACATGTGGATGCAGCCTTGAATGCAGAAGCCCCTGGGCCCCATTATTCAGGGCTTTTATGGAGATTTCACTATGTAGCATGATTGAGGAATGTCACTGGCCACTTGGTGAGTGAGCTCAACCTCTGTATTCCCTTTGCTGGGTTGTAGGGTGGCATAGGGCTGAAAATTCCAATCTTCTAGTCAACTGGTTGATTTTTTTTGGTTCCAGCCCCTGTCCTGAAGCTTCCTAGGGGCTCCAGAGGCACTTCATTAGCATAAACTCTGGGGTGTTGGTATATGCCTGTCACTCAGGAAATTCCAAAGAACAGCGGACAAAGAAAAAGCATTTATTTTTCATTATCACACACTTGTATTTTCCAGAACTCAGTTTCCTCATGAAAATAGAGTAAAATAATGCATCCTGCCTTAGAGGTGTTTTGGGTTGTAAGTAGGTTTGAATTCATCAGCTGATGAAAGAATAAACAAACGAGATATATCTGTGCAGTGGAATATTACTTGGGAGTAAAAAGGAATGAGACATTGGTATATGCAGTTGATGCTTTCAAACTGTGGCAAGTGAAAGGCAGCAATCACAAAAGACCACACACTATATAATTATTCTTAAATGAAATATACAGAATAGGCAAATCCGTAGAGACAGAAAGCAGATTCCCTAGGATTAGCAGAGGGGTGAAGAATTAACTACTAATCAGTATGAGGCTTCTTTTTGGAACAGTGAAAGTGTTCTGAATTTAGATTGTGGTCATTGAAGTGTACATTTTAATGTAGTGTTTCGTGTTACATGAATTATAGCTCAATAAAGCTGTTAAAAAATCCTATGTGTGGCCCTCCCTGGTGGCGCAGCGGGTTAAAGCACTGCACTGAGAAGCTAAAGCCACTTCTGCATGAGTTCGATTCCCGCCTGCCCAGGAGGTGACCACATGGCGCGGCAGACCTCTCCTGACCCGCCCACTGCTCCCCTCAGCAGTGTACTTCGTCGATCTGCCTGTTCTGCTCCCCACTCTGTCTCTGGTGAATCCTCTCACTGCCCCTGCAACTCTGGCCTGTACCCCAGTTCTGTATGAATAAATAAATCTTAAAAAAAAAAAAATCCTATGTGACACAGGTCATTTGGAGACCAGCACTGGCAATACCTGGGTGTAACCTTTTAGATTGTTTTTTCTAGAGCACCTTTCACACAAGCATGTTTGCTGTGATTGTATGTGGGGGACAGTGGGACCATTAGTTCTGCTTTTTCATTTCAATGATCATGACTATCAGCCATGTTACATGCACAGTTATGCCATCTTTTTTTTTTTAAAGATTGTTTTTGCATACAGACATGGGGTACATGCCCGAGGTGCAGGGGCGGCAAGAGGATTCACGGAGTCAAAGTGGGGAGCAGAATAATAGGCAGATCGACAAAGTATGCTGCTGAGGGGAGCAGCGGGAGAGACAGGAGAGGTCTGCCGCGCCATGTGGGTCAGCTTCGGGGCAGGGGTTGAACTCTCACACTGAAGTGGCCGCGGCCTGGCTCAGCTTCAGCAGTTTGGCACTCCAGCCCCCTGAGCCCCCAGGGAGGGCCCCTGTGCATCACTTTTATTGGCTGCATGGTATTGCTTCATAGAAATATCATTTTATTTCACAAATGTCCTACCCTTGAGCTTCTTGTTTGCTTTCATTACTTTGCTATTTTGAATAGTATTGTTAGACCTTTTTACACTAATAGGATCTTCAAAATGAATTTCCAAACGTGGAATTCGTAGGCACATAACACGAATGAATGTCTTCAAAACCTTTGATACTGTTCACCTTCATATTTTTCACTCATTCACCATTAATATACATACTATTTTGTTTAATGTTTGACTCAGCATTGTATTCTAACACATTTCCCCACTTCTGTGTTCTCTTTGGCTTGGAAAGTACATTTTATGTTCTTTTTTTTTTTTTTTTATGTTCTTTTTTTACTTTTACAGTTCCTTACTCAGAACTGAGTCTCACTGAACACTTCCTGTTTGACATGGTGACAAATTGGCCCTGGTTTATGCAGGTCACAGCTGAAAACTGTCCTGTTAGTGGATACTAAGCACAGAGGCTCAGTACTTTATTACTCAAGCCTGCACAGTGGCGCTGACAGCAGGGTGCGTGGCTCCTGGGCACAGGCTCAGTAGTGATAGGTTGCCAGCACCCCGTTTTTTATTTTTATTGAACTATACACTTCTGTAATCCCATTTTTTTTTCAGCCTCAACATTTTTATTTTATTTATTTATTCATTCATTCATTTATTTATTTTATAACAGTTTATTTTTACATCATTTTGTACATTTTTTTTCCATCTCAATTGTAATCCACATGGGTTTCCCGTCACCAAGTCACCCATGTGCCATCACCACAGTCCCGTGCACTTCCCTCCCCCCACCCCCCCACCC